ATTTAGGATCTTCTCTGAACTTGCCTGGACATTTTAACAGCACCCTGTTTTATCTGAATTGGTGCCACCCCTTGCATAAAAGAAATTACAGATTTTGTTTCAGAAAGTGCAGCGGTCTCTTTTGTCATCACTTTTGTATCACAAGTTCTTTGCTAATGTTCAGTTTTCTGTTATTCTGGTTGAGCTCTTTTACCTTCTCTCTTTTGCAAGTGCTTTCCTCCTGCTGAATATCTGTTTCAATTTATTTTCCCTCAGACACATTAACTTGAGTTTTTTTCATGTTGAATCTCATTTTGTTACTTCCTGTCTATATTTCTGACCCCTCTAGGATTCTTTGTTTTACGATTAAACAAACCTGTTCATGGGCTCTGTGAAAGACGAGATCATGCATTTGTAGGTTTATTTTTATTGAATCATGGTGAAAATTGCACCTTGAGGGAGGGCTCTATTACATTTAACTACTTAGCCAGGATTTATTAAAATAAACAGCATAGGAGCCAAGACCTTCCAGATGGGATCACACTTTAAATTGTGCTTCAAAATATATATGGACTTGTGGGTTATCTGCATATTCCTCTGCCTAAGGAAGCTTAGTTACTCTCACCTGAGATTAGTTTCTCATTATTGTGGGTTTCACATACTCCAAAACACTTTGTACATCATGAATTTGAACAGGCTGTGTGTTATGATTGAGGGGGATATTCCCTTTCCATGGTATTTTGTTTGTAAGACCAATAATTAAAATTATCATATAAGAAATAGCTGTTCCCCGTGCTCTGCCATGATCAAGATGATTTCAACATTTTCTGGGATTCTGTTTTATTTATACGTCTTAATTTTTGTCCTGCTGCACTATATAGGAAAACCATAGCTCAAATCTAATTAAATCTTATGCAATACTGTTGGTAGTTGAGGGAGAATTGTATTTCTGTACTGAAGATATCTTCTCTCAGATCATAATTCTCAGCTTTTTTAAGAATATTGCAGGAATCAAATCCATATTTTTCTGCTGGTGTGTTGAAGAGTCCAAAAACTCCGGTTAAAAGATTGGATGGTTTGATTTTTAAAGAAAGTTTATAGGAAAAGAAAGTATTTTGCCATGTAAGTGGAAGGGTTGCACTGAACCAGGTTTTCATTTGTTGCTTCAGTGTAATACTAAATGAATTCTACTGATCCTAGTGGGATGACATGGGATTTTTTTCTGGATTCACACTGGTCGCACGGAGATCAGAGTCTAACCTACCATTTTTTAATGGACTTCAGGAAAATTATTGGGGCTATTTGAAGGATTTCTGCAACACACAGAGACTGAGTGAAGGTGTAATTTTTGCTTTACATATGCATATGACAACGTTTTAAAGAAAACGGCAGGGAAAAAAGTCCTTGACTGAAGTGAGTTACAGGTAAAATACTTTTTTTTTTTTTTTTTTTTTTTTTTTCTGTTCCCACCACAACAGTGATGGTAAAGTTTAAATAAGCATACTGCACAGCTATGGAAGAAATAAAACTCACAACTGTATTACATCAAAAACTAGATCTCAGGCAAGCTAAAATCAAAGCCTGTGTCAAGTACATCAAGATCACCATCAGGCTTTGTCTGCCTGCTCAAAGAGCTTTCTCTTGATAAAGGGGAAAAAGGCAGGAGGGAGCAAGGTTTTACACTCATAACTCACATTCTGTATCACAGAACAGCTGCTCCAGGCTTTGTCTCATCCTTTAAACCTATTCTTTAGTGAGGAATGAAAGAACAGAATGAGAAATCCATGGGAGGAGGTGTGTGGTGTGTGTACAGAGAATCTCACCACGCTGACAGTTTTCTGTAATGCCATTTAAACATAACCACCACCAGCTAAGGAAACAGGAACATGGCTGTGTGCTGCATGCATCTTCTCTTACCCCCTACACACTCATGCTCATTACAGCTCTTTCTTTAAACTGCTGGCTAGACAGCTGGCAGTGCCTCAGAGGAGCGCCGAGTAAGGGAGCATATAAATTACTGTTGCGTTTTACAGCCAAGATAAACTCAAACTGCAGGGTTATAAGCCTGAACTGGCACACACACACACACACACACACACGCACAAGAATCTAACAGTCCTCCGAGCAGCAAAGGGGAAATGAAAGAAAGAAAACACATTTTGGCAAACTTTTGGCAGTCGTGGTGGTGAAGGGTGAAGTAAATACACAAAACAATGTACTAATTCTGTATGCCTACAAATAATAGCAAGTTTAATAGTTCTGTGTGTGTAACCATTAATGTGTAATTTTAAATTACTTCTTTTTTAAAGTAGTTTTAGGCTTACTTGTGCTGTCACCTCTGTAGATTTTCAAAGATGACAATGGATGTGTGGTTATACTTTCCATGTTATACTTTTTACTAAGTGAGGCTCAGTACACTTGCCATTTCAAGTGGGTCAGTGCTTGAACAAAGCTCCCAGCTGAACACTGAGAAGGCTGCTCTGTTTGGAACTGCTTGTGCTGGCTCTGTGCCTCCCACATGGTATAGGCAGTTGTGCACTATTTAAAACAATGAGTTTAAGATATACAGGGGTACCAAAGAGTTATTAAGATTAAAGCATTATTTCAGATCCATATTCATTTGTGATTGACTTTGCTCGGGAAAGAACAAGTTGTGGTCCCTAATATGAGTGGCTTTATTTAATCCTCCACCCAGCATTGTGTAAGTCATGGTATAGAGTTCAGGAATTGTTTAAATGCAAGCATGGCTTTATGGGGCAGGCTATAATACCAGGTGCCAAATACTCAGATATTTTTATATAGACACTTCAGTCTGTTACCACATATTACTGTGAGTAGTCTCTGAGAGTATTACATAGTTTGTGGAACAAAGAGAGGCTGAAAATGTGTGCAGCCTGACTCATTCCCTCAGGAAACCATGCTTGAGTGTCCAAAGACCCACAAAATAGGTACCGGACATGCTTTCAAAAATCTATAGGCTGAAGCACAGTGTGCAGTGCATAGTACTGCTCTGCTGCAAGGAAACATAAAACATGAATCCTTACTTTCAGCCAGAAACCCTGGAACCTCTGGGAGATCACAGTCCAAATCAAAAATCAAAATACTTCCCCAGTGCAACTACAAATTGAAAGGAAACCCTTGTACTGTTCTGGCAAAGATACAGATGGAAGATGGCTTTGAAATGCTGAAAAGATTCAGATGGTGATCAACTTGATGACTTTTCTTAGGTAAGAAAAATATAATCTCAAAGATGCCTTTATTGTGATTCGTGGAGGTTTGAGAAGTGAGAAAGGGAGCTCTTAAGAAAGTCAGTTATATTGTTTACTGTATATTAACAGTATGACAGTGTATGCTTAAAAGTTATAGTGCATGAATAAAATGTCATGACTACAGGAAGTGAGGCAAAGCATTCTACACAATTGGTTACAATAAGAATCATACTAAGATTAGTTATAATGTGGTTTTGGTCTTTCAGAATCAAAACCATATCATCTTTGGTCAATACTGTATTCAGATAAAAGGCTAATTTTAGCAAAACTCTTCTGATTCCACTTCAATTTAAAAATGTTAAATTAAACTATATATATGTATGTATACATAATTATGTATAAAATAACTACTGGGATAATATAACTAAATGTTTATACATAAAATATCTACTGGTACACTTAGTACCAGGAGAAGGTTGAAACAAGTAAGGAAGAGGAGGGTCTCATATCTGACTGGATGTTAAAACACGGAGCATACCACAAAATCAGGGTAATTCAACCTTCCCCCACTTTAGTGAGAGCACTGACCTGAAAGGTAAAACAGGATTGTTGAGTTGAATCATCATGAGGTGATTCCAGAGAAGATGTCAGCACCACAACAAGTTAGAATAAAGACACAGAACAGTAGCAGGAAAAAATTCCCCCAGTCTTATCTAGAATGTTGAAGAATGCCACTGAAAAATTCTGTTTTCAAATCTGGTTGATCTATGTCCCCTTGAACACTTCCACTTGAGACAGCCACTAGAGAAGAGCCTGGGGAGCTTTGGAGAATGGTGGTATTGCTTTTTAGAAGTCCTATCTTTGAAACTTAGCTTTTCCCTTTGATGTTTTCTTTGCATTAAACACTTCTATATTTCTGCCCTATGGCTAGCGCAAGTTGTTAAGTTTTCACAGTCAAAGATGTATATTTAAAATGGTTATTTAGGTTAGGTTTGTTGGATTTCCAGAGATCACATCTTGCCTTGCAGAAAGACATATTGTCTCTCTTCTCTTCAGGCATTTCTAGCAAGGGTCCTTCTTAAGCCAGGAATTAATACACAAAGGTTTTTCATGCTGGTTGTGTTCAGGTCCTGGGTTCTCTTTGTCAAAATAGAGTTACACAATGAAAATGTTATCCTCTTCAAACGATGCTCAACCAAGGTATCAGTTGGAGTTCACTTCATGAAGGGCTCTGGGTCCTTCCTGTTTTGTGTGCTCCTGCCTCTGGCTTCAGTAACATAGGACAGGTTGGTGTGACCTGTCCTGACACCTTGCAGCCAACAGATTGTGTCTATGCTTGGGGGAATCCAGAATTGCTAATGCTTGAGGAGCCAAACCTCTGTGAACAGAGTCAGAAAAATAATCAGAGCTGCAAGACAACACTTTTATTAATTATTATTATTATTATTATTATTATTATTATTATTATTATTATTATTATTATTATTATTATATATACAGATAAAGGATGGAAATCTGTATTTTATGGAGAACATGCACATTCCCTTTTTAATGGGTATATAAAACTTCTGTGAGCAGCCCCATATGTTCTGTAATGGGAGGATTAAGCCCAGGCACATATTATCACATTGATAATTATTACACTTATAGAAAGAGTTGTACAACTCTAGAGATCTCTGAGTTTACCAGAGAACCTCTACAATATCCTAAACTTGGCATTGATATATAGTGTCTCCAGTATGTAACCAGATACTAAAGCTGTCTAAATACTGTAATCTATTCTCATTCCACAATAACACAGCACCTGTGCATCTTTTCTGCTGTCTGTCATGAATCATGATGCCTGACAGGTACAGGTAGTCAGCTTCACAAGATGGCACAGAGCCAGAGCGTGTTTTGTTTGTTTGTTTGTTTAATTGTTATTATTTTTATTTTTGAATCCCTAAGGGGACTGTGCAGTTCTACTTCTCTGGCTGCCATCTTTTCTTCTTCAAGTCACGCAGAGACATCTGTGGGATGTTTTCCATTCTTTTAAATGATAATGGTAATTCTCACTTGAAATTCTGTGTGAGTTCTATCTGTAAAGGAATGATTAAATATTTTAACCAAGTTAATTGGTTTGTTAGTTAAGAAGAGTTTCCAAAATTATTCTGTTGAGGTTCTAATACTCATTTATTTTGGATAATGACTTCCAAAGTTTAGATTAATTCCTGTTTAATTAAAACAAAACAGAAGAAAACAAAACATTTCTGTTATTAACTTTTAACATCACAATGTCATTAACACTAATACTGTGCACTACTTTTTCATCAAGAAAAAAATAGAATATTTCTTCAAAGGAATGTTGAATTAATGTCATGATTTGCTCCTCTAAACATTACATACATTCAAGGCACCTTTCAGCAATTGCTCAATACCATCTCAAATCTTAAGCAGTGTTGTAACGTTTTAAAGACAACATTGGAATTTAACCCAAATGTAGTAACCAGTAGTAACCAGTTGCCTTGTGACTGAAAGAGACTGATTATTGTCCTAGAAATACATTCCCCCTAAACTTTTTTTTTTTTTTTTTTTTTTTCCTCTTGAAGGTAGATGTGCTAAAATATCTGTCATATGACCCGTTGATTTCTTGGGAGGTTACCTTTATAAAGATCTGGAATTGTTACTGATGAGTTATATATTACACTAACTGGACATTCACATGGGACTTGCAGCTGGTCTTTATTTTGCGCACATGTAGTTATTTGGGTATTTTTCATTGTGATATAGATTCAGTAACATCTTCTAATAGCATTAGCATTTATATCCTTGATATAAAATAGAATTAGAGGAGATTATTAAACAGTAAGGCCATCTAAAGCCAGAATCATTAAAATAAATAACCACTGTATTTCATGGGGTGGTTATGGATATGTAACTCTGCTAGACTCACCTCACAATTCTATTCTATTTTTCTTGTCTTTCACACCACGTAAGAGAGCAAAGTATTTCTTGTTTTATAAGTGCAGCAAATTTTGCAGATGTTGTGGAGTGCTTTTCACTAGTGTAATGATACTGAATGATACGGAAAATAATGGTCTTAATGAAAAAAAAGACATACGTACACTAATATATGTTATTTTTCAAATAGAAATAGTCTTTCAAAGCAAAAAAAAAAAAAAAAAAAAAAAAAAAAAGGTGTGTGTTCCTTGAAATTCATCTTAAATAAAGCTCTGCATAATTATAACCAAAGTATGTCCTTTCCTTACTGTCTTTTCTTTCCATTCCTTACTGCCTTTTCTTTGAAAAGGAAATAAAATAGCAAGTACACAGAATGTGGAACAAATTACTGGAAACAGAGAGATAAATCAATTATTCAATATTTATTACAAAATAAAATAGCTCAACAATTCACAAGGTATGTTAAATGCTTAAACTATGATTATTACACAGAGTTTATTTCTGTCTTTATTACATCTTGCTTTTAATATATGTGTATAAAAGAGAAGGGATATTTTTATACGGAAAATTTAGTGGGGGGAAAATTTCCATTCCATTTTCGGTGATTTCATGCTACTGAGATTTCACTCTTCCACTAAATTCCTCTGGGATAATGGAAATTTTTCACATTGAACCATACAAATGTTTAAAAAGCCTCTTCTGTGTGAAATGTTATGCTCTATTTCTGATAAAACACTTAAGAGGAATTGTGGCCATATTTTAAATTTATCTTTTGAAGAAAGATATAAGAACAAGTGAAGAAAAAATCATTATCTAGACCAGGTTTCTGTCAAAATATTTCTATGTATTTCTAATTTGCTACAAGACTGAAAAAATAAAAAATATTCTTTCTTTAAGAAAAGAAGCAGTGTTCCTGATACTCAAAGGGAACCTTAATGTATGACATATTTGTGAACAGAGTGAGATGATTTCATAGAGCCTTGTCTGCTGATAGATCATCTGCCACAGTGTAAGCTGCTGATAAATTCCTTGGGTTGTACTGTGATTTCACTTGAGAAAGAAGAAATGGATCCTGGTTTTCATTTCTAAAGATTTTGCTTTCTGAATGTAACTTTTCAAAGTGTTGATTCCTAACTTCTATTAACGAGATGTAATTTTTGCAGTAGATCAATCTGGGGAAAGATACTGTTATTCCCCAGGCAAAATCCTCATCCCACACTGGCCCCCTCTTTTCAGACTGAAGGGGATCTCGCCCCCAAAAACTAACAAACAAACAAACAAACACCTTTCTGAATTGCAAAAATTGTTCCCCATTTGAGGCAAACTCTAGCAAAAAGGGTTTGCTTGGAGTTTCTGTCTGTCTCTCACACTGTCTCTGCTAGGGGCGGTGCAGTGGTTTATAGCATACATAGCCTGTTGGAAGTGAGACATATTTTGAGGCATTGCTGAGGACTTTGGAACAGTAAAAATGTGGCTGAGAGCTCTCTGTTGGCTGCTTCTTCTCTTGGTTGTACCTCTACAGGAAACATTGCAGAGCTCATCTCTGTGATCTAAGGTAGCATCTTGCTGACTACAGACAGCTTAGCATACTGTATTTTACCTGCACGTAGGTGTCTCTCTGGTTGAAGTGTTAAAGGGGGGATACAGTCCATGACAAAGCAACAGGGCAAACAACATGCACAAATCACTGATGTAAGAAACTCCAAATGCTTTATGTCATTTACATAATTATTTTTTTTAGTCCTTTACAGCAAATAGCTCTTCCTGCACTCTCAGTTCTTTAGGTTGTTGTTTATGCTCTGTATAACTTTGAGTCTGTTTCACAAAGGGACACCAAACTTGTAAGGAAGGAAGTTTCTTTGGCTTTGCTGAATAACTTTCATCCCTCTCATTCCTCAACTTTTCTTCTTAATCTGGGATTACACTAATATGTATAGAGTATCATGGTTCAAAGATAATGCAGCATTTTAAAGCAATCATCCTGGATACTAAGGCCTACAAGTGATGAAAGAACAGAAATAAACTAAGCAATACAGATTGTAAATTTTCTGTAGTTGTTTTGGAATCACGTTGACTAT